TTGTGCACACGGTCAAGCGTTAACATTCTGGAGTTATCCTGCACAACGGCACAAGGGATGGCCGACAGGGAGAAAGTGGCATCACACTCCATGGACAGGAACCTGGAGGTCCTGGTGTATGGAGTAGTGCAGAGGAAGGAGGTCCTCTTCCCTCCAGGGAGTGCCAGAGAAGGCCATGACACCAGCTTCTGCCAGCTGGTCCGATGTGTCGGTGCAGTCCACAGTCCAATGCAGGAAGAAGGTGAATTAAGTTCCGCCATTTGCTAGCTGCTAGCTCACACTCACTCTGTACCTGCTTGTTCTCACCCACCCCAACTCCCCAACACCCACTGATCTAGCCGTTTACAATTGAAGATACCCCACCCTCCCCCACTTTGCCTCCCATGTTCTACTGTATCCTCCCTTTACATATTAAGTTGCCTCCCTTCAACGCTGTTATCTCCCCCACATCCCATTGTTCTGAAGGCTATGGGCCAAGTGCTGGAAAATAAGATTAGAATAGTTAGGAGCTTGTTTCTGACTGGCACAGAGTTGATGGTCCGAAGGGCCTTTTTCTGATTGGCAGATCTCTATGACTCCATGAATCCTTACCATTCAGTTCCCCAGTCTCCTTGTCACAGCACTGACCAGCTGATGTGACCTTGACCTTTAGTGGATTGACCCCCTGGAGTGACCATGGCTCATCTCTTTCAATGACTTACCCAGTTATAGTGATGAGTGACCAGACCCCTGACTGATTTCATACAGCTCCATTACTGTGTCCCCAGACTGGCCGCACTAGAAACACAGGAAAACTTCAAGCCAGGCAGCGTGCCATGGACACAAAGCCAGGCAGCGTGCCATGCTTGTCAGCAGTCAATGGATTCAACTTGTTATGATCCTTGAAGCAATCTTGAAGTCTTCCTTTTCCAGTTGACCGGCTCATCTCCCAAAAGGGACTTTGCTTGCTGCGCATGCAGTGTGTTTGCCATGTACATTGCTTGCATGTGGCACTGGTGTAGGATTGGTGTAGCAAGGGGGCAAGCAGCAACAAGTTGAATCCATTGACTGCTGACAAGCATGGCACGCTGCCTGGCTTTGTGTCTATGGCACGCTGCCTGGCTTTGTGTCCATGGCACACTGCCTGGCTTTGTGTCCATGGCAACGGCCTGACCAATTCGGCAGTTGTGTGATCCTTGGAGCTTTGGCTGAGGTGGCAAAAAGGCCACTCCATTCAAGGCGGGGATATTGAGAGTATCTGGGTAGGTACTGAGCAAGGCAGAGCTAAGAAAGTGAGTGAGCAGCCTAAGGTCCATTCAGTACGCTACAGCTGTTAATGGGTTCAGCAAAACATCTCAATCTTGTGTGTGAAGAAGTTGCCTTATCCACTAAGACAGGGTCCAGCATTTTGTGACGGATGTTTTACCAGAAAAAAAATGGGATTTCTTCCAGATTTTGGCACAATCGTCCAAAGAAGCCCAAAGCCTAACTCAATACTCCACAGAAGCATGCAAAGGGGAGTTAACCAAGGGATAATGTCAAGGACATTTCCAAAGTTCCATGCATGACATGCAAGCTTCTCAGCAAAGTCCGCAAAATATCTGCAATGTTACATCCTACAGACTACAGTCAGACAGTACATGTCCTGACTCAGAGTCGTTTAGGTCCACAGCACAGATAAAGGCTTTCGGCCTGTCCTGTCCACAACCACCTAACTATTCTTATCCCATTGTCCAGCACTTGGCCCATAGCCTTGTATGCCTGGTAGGTGACAAAGAAGATTGATGAAGGCAGAGCAGTAGATGTTCTCTATTCAGCAAGGCGTTCGACAGGGTTCTGCATGGCAGACTGTTTAACATGGTTAGATCACATGGGATTCGGGGGGAGCTTGCCATTTGGATACAAAATTGGTTTGAAGGCAGGAGACAGAGGGTGGTGGTGGAGGGTTGCTTTTCAGACTGGAGGCCTATGACCAGCGGTGTGCCACAAGGATCGGTGCTGGGTCCACTAGTTTTTGTCATTTATATAAATGACTTAGATGTGAACATAGCAGGTATGGTTAGCGAGTTTATAGATGACACCAAAATTAGTGGTGTCGTGGACAGTGAAGAAGGTTACCTCAGAGTACAATGGGACCTAGATCAGATCGGCCAATGGGCTGAGGAGCGGCAGATGGAGTTTAATTTAGATAAATGTGAGGTGCTGCATTTTGGAAAGGGAAAGCAGGGCAGGACTTATATACTTAAGGTAGGGTCCTGGGGAGTGATGTCGAACAAAGAGACCTTGGGGTGCAGGTTCATAGTTCCTTGAAAGTGGAGTTGCAGGGTAATGAAGAAGGCATTGATATGCTTACTTTCATTGGTCAGTGCATTGAGTATAGGAGTTAGGAGGTCATGTTGTGGCTGTACAGGGCATTGGTTAGACCACTTTTGGAATACTGCGTTCGATTCTGGTCTCCTGGTTGTAGAAAAGATGTTGCTAAAGTTGAAAGGGTTCAGAAAAGATGTACAAGGTTATTGCTGGGATTAGAGGATTTGAGTTACAGGGACAGACTGAATAGGCCGGGGCCTTTTTCCTTGGAGTGTCACAGCTGAGGCGTTTATGAGAGGCATGGATAGAGTGAATCGCCAAAGTCTTTTCCCAAGGGTAGAAGTCCAAAACTAGAGGGCATAGGTTTAAGGTGAGAGGGGCAAGATTTAAAAGGGACCTGAGGGGCAAAATTTTCAGAGGAAGTAGCGGAGGCTGGTACAATTAGAACATTTAAGAGACGTCTGAATGAATACGTGAATAGGAAGGGTTTAAAGGGATATTGGCCAAATGCTGGCAAAAGCAACTAGATTGAGTTAGGATATCTGGTCATCATGGACAAGTTGGAGAAAAGGGTCTGTTTCCGTGCAGTATGAATGTATGTGTTCTGACTCACTGGGCTCTCAGTCACAATATTCATCACTCAGTAGCAGCATAGAATCTCTACAGTGTGGAAGCAGGTTATTCAGCCCATCTAGTCCATACTGACCCTCCGAAGAGAATCCCACCCAGACCCACATCCCCAGCCTTATCCCTGTTACCCTGCATTTTTCATGGCTAATCCACCTAGCCTGCGCATCTTTGGACTGTGGAAGTAAACCCACGCAGACACAGGGAGAATATGAAAACTCCACACAGACTGTCACCTGAGGCTGGAATTGAACGCAGGCCCCTAGTGCTGTGATGCAGCAGTGCTAACCACTGTGCCACCATCAGTGTGCACCATTTACAGGATGCACTGCAGAAATTCCCCAAAGATCCTTAGCACCTTCTAAACTGGTGACCTCTACCATCTAAAAGGACAAGGGCAGCATATATATGGGAACACCATCCAAATTCCCCTCCAAATCACTCACCATCCTGACTCGGAAATATATATCTCCATTCCTGCACTGTTGTTGGGTCAAAATCCTGGAGCTTCCACTGTTGGTATCTCTGCAACACATGGACTGCAGCAGTTCAAGAAGGTAGCTCACCACCCGCTTCTCAAGGGGCACCCAGTGATGGGCAAGAAATACCTTCCCATTAACATTCATACCCTGTGAAAGGGGATGTCATAGTGAGAGAATGTTTGACACAGTTTGAATATATAGGAGCAGGACTTGGCCATTCAACCCTTTGGACTTGCTCTGCCATTCTAGATCTGTCCAAGTGCCATTTTCCTACATTATGATCCTTTTGATTTCCTGCTCCTGGGAGTAACACACTTACCTAAGCTACACCCATGGTGTAGTGTAGGGAGGGAGCTCTCCAAGATTCAGGATCCAGGGTCCAGGTTACACTGAGCAAATACTGTGAAACTGTGAAGTAGCTTAAAATGCCTGACCATACAAGAAGTCAGCCATGACTGATGGGTTCTTCATTCTGACAAGTGGAGTCTAACTTATACCTGCATAAAGGCAACTTTTATACAGAGATTTTCACAATGCCATTACAGCCAATGAAATCCTTTCAAAGTGTAGTCACAAGGATAGACAGGTTTTCTCCCACCTATCCCCCCTACCCATCCCACTAATCCCCACCACTCCCTACCTGCACTCACCTATTACCATCCCACCTACCTTCCCCAGCCCCACCCCTCTTCTCTCTATTTATTTCCCAGCTCCCTTCCCCCTCCCACTTTTCTGAAGAAGGGTCCTGATCCAAAATGTCAGCTTTCCTGCTCCCCTAATGCTGCCTGACCTGCTGTGCTCCTCCAGCCCCACACTGTGTTGTCTCTGACTCCAGCATCTGCAGTTCTTGCTATCTCAAAGTGCAGTCACTGTTGTGTCGAATGAAGCATAGCAACTACAACAAGCTGTCACAGAAAGCAATGTGATAAAAAAGAGATTTGTTTTGGAAAGCGAGATGTCAATTGAGGGATAAGAACTGGCCAGGACACAAGGGAGAATTTGAAAGCTCTTCTTTCAATGGTGTGATGTGATCTTTGACAAAGGAGGGCAGAACTTTGATTGAACACGTCATGTGGGAAACCAGGTGAGATACAGCAGCTTTCCTGTATCCTGACCCAATATTTTACCCTGAGGCCGGGGCAGGGAAATCGCTGATACTGCCACTGTCAGACTATACCTGGGAAGAGGGGATTCATGGGCCTACAGAGGCCCAGGAAGTATCTGTTTCTACTGGAGGTTGACCAACTGCTCTTCTAGGCTTCACAAGCAAGCAATGGGGTTTGCTCCCCCCAACCCTACTGCTTTTACATGGAAGCTCGGGGCTGACTCTTGAGGAGTTTTTAGCTACAACCTCCAGCTTATGCACACACGCTCCTCAGAATCGGGAAGCTGGCTGGGATTGGGCAGATGGGATTTGATGCATGTCTAAGCCGTCAACATTTGCTGAGCCCTTACTTCCTTAGACCCCCAAGGGCTCGTTTCACCCTTTTTGGGGTGCAACACAGCAGCCACCCACACCCTTTAAAATGGGAGGCCCTCATCCCAGTTCACTGCCACACTTATTTAATCACAGACAAGTTGTTTGTGCCATACAGACTCTACCTGTCGCCTCCACCATTCCTTCGAGGATCACAACAATCTCGAAGTCTTCCTTTTCCAGTTGACTTCGGCTCATCTCCCAAAAGGGGCTTTTCTCATTAATTTCGTGTGAAATGATCAGTGGCGACACCAGAAACAGGCGATCGTCCCCAGTGTCGAAGCCCACGTTGATGTCAGTCTGGTTGAGGGGTATGAATTCTCCTTCTTTGGTCTGTCTGGATTTGATGAGCTTGGCCCGGATGGATGCCTCCACAATGTGCGAGTTACGAAGATCCCCAACGCGGAACATGAGACACATCTTATCGTCTCGGAGAGATATGACTGCACGGTTTGAAAACATGAGGGTCTCTGCTCGGTTCTTTGGCTGGGAAATCTTCACAAACATACAGCCAACCATCAAAGCATTCACAATTGATCCCAGGATGGCCTGGACCAAGAGCAGGATAATCCCCTCTGGGCATTTCTCAGTTATAACTCTGTGGCCATAGCCAATAGTTGTTTCTGTTTCGATAGAAAACAGAAATGCAGACACAAACCCATTCAAATTATCCACACAAGGAGTCCATGTTGGATCTCCCAAATGGTCCAGGTCTCCCCGGATGTAAGCTATAAGCCACCAGATGAATCCGAAAAACAGCCAGGTAATAGTGAAGACCAATGTGAAGATTAAGAGGTTAAATCGCCACTTGAGGTCCACCAACGTGGTAAACAGATCACTGAAGTATCTATAGGTCTCCTGGACATTTCCATGGTGGACATTGCACTTCCCGTCCTTGTCAACATACCTTTGCTTGATTTTCTTGGGCTCAGTGAGGAGCCGTGTCCTGTCTGTTGTTAAGATGTTGTCCCGTGCTTGTTTGGGTAACTTCTTCGACTCTCTTGTAGTTGCTGCGATGTCCATGTCCTTGTTTGGGAGCACTCTGGAATCTCCGGCCATTGTGCACTGCCCTCAGATCTAAGATGGTTTTCATTCAAATGTTACCACCTGAAAGACAGATCATTTCTGCTGTGAAATTGCACACTTGAACATTTTGCTGCACGGAGTGTGCAGCAGCACATACTGGCTAACTAACAAGCAATAATATTACATCATGATTAAAATTACAGAGAGCGGGTCTTGAGATACCATTAGGTTATTATCATGTCTATGGTAAGTATCAATGTGCTTTCATCTTCCCTACTGCGTCAACTCATCACCCCTTCCTCGGGAACTCATGTGCAGGCTCCTAATCTTGTAGCCATTAAAATGGAATCTCTAAATGACCCAGTTTGAATGATTCATGTCCAACATTGGTTAATCCAGGTGGCAAATGGAAGAGGGATAAAAAAAGGAATAGGGTGCTTGCTCATTACTGAGTATCACATCATCGACTTATTCCTGATACCATGTGAAACTGGAGCTGGTGTAGACTACCTTTCACAGCTGGTTAGCCACTTAACCAGACCATGTCCATCTTATAGCTTAACCCTTCCTTTTACACTGCTCACATATCCAGGATTTAACCAGCTCTATCTTTAGTATAGACAATGACTGAGCAGTCCCAGCAACCTGGCACTGAGAATACAAGAATTCACAAACATTTGAGTTAAAAATGTTCTCCTCATTTCTGTCCTAAATAGCTGATAACTCATTCCTATACTGTTGATCCATGTTTTAGATTCTCAAGCGAGGTGACATATTTTCTCAGCCTGTTAAGTGCTTTAAGGATTTGACACAGTGCATGGTCCAATTGACTAGTGTTCAGTTTTGAACCAAGTTGATGAATACTAATGAGCTATTCAACTGCGGTGAGTGGATCAACATGCTCTTCATACCTGATGTTGACACAAAAATGCTTCCACCCTGACCTCCCACCCATGGCCTCCAACCTCATCGTTCCCCAACCCCGCACCGCCCGCTTATATCTCCTTCCCAAAATCCACAAACCGGAATGCCCTGGTCGACCCATTGTCTCCGCCTGCTCCTGCCCCACCGAACTTATCTCCAACTATCTGGACTCCATTTTCTCCCCCTTAGTCCAGGAACTCCCTACCTACGTCCGTGACACCACCCACACCCTCCACCTCCTCCAGAACTTCCAATTCCCCGGTCCCCAACACCTCATCTTTACCATGGACGTCCAGTCCCTATACACCTGCATTCCCCATACAGATGGCCTAAGGGCCCTCCGCTTCTTTCTGTCCCGCAGGCCCGACCAGTCCCCCTCCACTGACACCCTCATCCGCTTAGCCGAACTCGTCCTCACCCTCAACAACTTCTCTTTCAATTCCTCCCACTTCCTACAGACAAAGGGGGTGGCCATGGGTACCCACATGGGCCGAAGCTATGCCTGCCTCTTTGTAGGTTACGTGGAACAATCCCTCTTCCGTACCTACACTGGCCCTAAACCCCACCTCTTCCTCCGTTACATTGATGACTGTATCGGCGCCGCCTCGTGCTCCCACGAGGAGCTCGAACAGTTCATCCACTTCACCAACACCTTCCACACCAACCTTAAGTTCATCTGGACCATCTCTGATACCTCTCTCTCCTTCCAGGACCTCTCTGTCTCCATCTCGGGCAACCACCTAGAAACCGATATCCATTTCAAGCCCACCGACTCCCACAGTTACCTAGAATACACCTCCTCCCACCCACCTTCCTGCAAAAGTGCCATCCCCTATTCCCAATTCCTTCGCCTCCGCCGCATCTGCTCCCAGGCATTCCACTCCTGTACATCTCAGATATCCTTGTTTTTCAAGGACCGCAACTCCCCCTCGTCAGTGGTCGAGAATGCCCTCAACCGTGTCTCCCACATTTCCCGCAACTCATCCCTCACACTCCGTCCCCACAATAACAACCAAAAAAGAATCCCCCTCGTCCTCACGTACCACCCCACCAACCTCCGGATCCAACGCATCATCCTCCGACACTTCCGCCATCTGCAATCCGACCCCACCACCAAAGACATTTTTCCCTCCCCACCCTTATCTGCTTTCCGGAGGGACCACTCTCTCCATGACTCCCTTGTCCGCTCCACATTCCCCTACAGCCCCACCACACCCGGCACTTTTCCCTGCAACTGCAGGAAGTGCTACACCTGCCCCCACACCTCCTTCCTCACCCCCATCCCTGGCCCCAAGAAGACTTTCCACATCAAGCAGATGTTCACCTGCACATCTGCCAGTGTGGTATACTGCATCCACTGCATCCGTTGTGGCCTCCTCTACATCGGGGAAATCAAGCGGAGGCTCGGGGACTGCTTTGCAGAACACCTACGCTCGGTTCGCAATAAACAACTGCACCTCCCAGTTGCGAACCATTTCAACTCCCCCTCACATTCCTCAGACGACATGTCCATCCTGGGCCTCCTGCAGTGCCACATCGATGCCACCCGAAGGTTGCACGAACAGCAACTCATATTCCGCTTGGGAACCCTGCAGCCCAATGGTATCAATGTGGATTTCACAAGCTTCAAAATCTCCCCTCCCTCTACCGCATCCCAAAACCAGCCCAGCTCGTCCCCGCCTCCCTGACCTGTTCTTCCTCCCACCTATCCCCTCCTCCCACCTCAAGCACCACCCCCATCTCTACCTACCAACCTCATCCCGCCCCCTTGACCTGTCCGTCCTCCCTGGACTGACCTATCCCCTCTCTAATTCCCTACCTACACTCACCTTTACTGGCTCCATCCCTGCCTCCTCAACCTGTCTGTTTCCTCTCCACCTATCTTCTCCTCTATCCATCTTTTATCCGCCTCCCCCTCTCTCCCTATTTATTTCAGAACCCCATTCCCCTCCCCCATTTCTGATGAAGGGTCTAGGCCCGAAACGTCAGCCTTTCTGCTCCTATGATGCTGCTTGGCCTGCTGTGTTCATCCAGCCCTGCACCTTGTTGTCTCGGATTCTCCAGCATCTGCAGTTCCTACTATCTCAAATGCATGTCCACTTCGTTTTGGTTTTTCTGGACAGTGTGTGTCTAATTGGTTTAGGTTTTTGTCCATTTGTTTTTGGTTTCTTTGAACAGTACATATCTGTTTGGTTTCTTGGCAATGTGTCTAATTAGTGGAATTGATCTTTTGAAACACAAGTGCCACTGACTGGTCTAATTACATTGATTTAAACACAGTAATTATCACAGCAAAGTACTTCAAGAACACAGCACACCTTTCATCTCCATTATAACAATATTCAGTCATAGCAAGTCATTGCATTAAGATGCTGATCCCTAGCACTGTTTTCCTGAAGCCATCCAGATTACTCTCAATCTAAGACATATTAATGTGGCTTTACAGAACTGCTCCTTAAGCAGAATATTTGAAAAGCTGAGGTAAACATGAACAAGAGACATGCTCCAAAGTATGTTCTATCCTCTTGCAATATATAGTCTATCACCTGCTTGTTGACATGGCAATGTAATCATCAAAAAAGTGCTGTGTTTTACGGCATGAAAATCAAATCCATTAACTATCCTATCACAAAGATTTATCACTTAACAGTAACTGCAATCCATTGTGTGTAATTCTTGGGGTAGTCCTGAAACAGTTGGCGATATACAACATGAACACAGTTCTCTTCTCTCTCTTCTTACAATATGGTGTATAATCAATTCCTTTTCTCCCCATCTCCCATCTTCCTCACTGGATACCAGACCCACCTTCAGATTGAACTTTTTGCTACCAAGTAACACAGGGTTGGCGTGGTTACTATCAGCACCAGCCAGTAGTGGCCTCTCATCAGCCCCTGGGTGCTGTAACATGCACCAATGAGTGTGGCCTTGTGAGGGTAACTTCTGTCACTGCACCAATCAAACACTGGACAAGTGTGAAGGTGTATCATCTCGGATGTTGGCTCCTTCTTTGTCACTTCATTCTATGTGAATACGTGCATTTTGAGCTCTGTCAAAGTTCATTAAGAGTTTGTGAGACAGCTTTGGAAAAGGCTAGGAAGGTAAGAATTTGTGCCTACTCAATCACTTTAATAATTGGCTGACCTTTTAACATGACTTGAACATTGAATGCTGCTGGTGTCCTGGGTGAGTGGTCGCATTCAGGCCTCTGACAGGAGATCAGGTTCTGGATTTTGAGTGTGGAGTTAGCAGCTAGCTGGGTATTGGTGCCTGATGTGGCTCCCAATGTATCTAGCTGGTCCTCCTCATAGGGAGCTGGCATCAGGTTCACGACTTGGCCAAATATAGAGGGGTCACGATAAACAGGTTGATCACCAGCATGTAAAACCTTCTAATTCTGATGGAGGCAGCAGGAGAGGGCAAGTTTTCTGGTCAGCCACTCTGTCATAGGCAATAGAAACCCACTGCATTTCTTCACTCATAAGCATGGGCCAATGCAATGGAAGCCAAGGCCAATCCCTCGGAAATGAGGATGGTGGAAGACAGACACTCTCTTTTTGGGCATAACAATATCCCATTTAGCAGGACAGGAATCCATATCTTAGCTGCATGGTTGATAGAATCACTGCTACATTGGCAGAGGCACTTATTTACAAAGGGGCTGATATGGAGCCTGCAGGTAGTAAAAACAATAGGTGAAACAGGGTGTTTTGTGTACTGCTTGATGCAGAAAAGAAAGATGACAATTGCCCACTTGCTTTATTTTTTCATGGGAAATGGGAATTTCTGGCTAGGCAAACATTTATTGCCTATTCCTAATTGCCCTGGTCGTGGTAAGTGGCTTTCTTGTTGAACTGCTGCAGTCCCTACGGTGCAGGTATATCTTCAATGCCTTTAGGGAGGGAGTTCAAGGATTTTGACCCAGCGACAGTGAAGGAACGGTGATATATTTCCAAATCAGGATGGTGAGTGGCTTGGAGGGGAACTTACAAGTGGCGCTATTCTCATGTATCCCTTGTCCTTCTAGATGTAAGAGTTCACTGGTTTGGAAAGTGCCATTGAAAGCCTAATGCACTTCTGACTTGTGTCCAAATCTTATTATGATCTAAGGAGAGATCAGTAACTTGTAAAAGTAAATCTGAATTTCCAAT